TCCCTCCCCCCCCCACTGCTATTTCAATTTTAATAAATGATCTCTCCCTCCCTCCCCCTGTCGCGCCAGCCTCTCCTAGATGGGAATCGCGTTGTCATTGAGCTTATCGCGATTATCGCAGCGTGCAGTACATCGGTACATGCATATACATCGTGTGCAGCATCGAGCAAAAGCCGAAGGAGGAAAGGGGGAGGGGAGCACATTGATGAAAGGAGAATCGCGCGCGCATCGCCGATTCTATTCGCGCGACGAACGCGCGGATACAAGGTTAGGCGAGATAGCATCGCCGGATTAATTATGCGTAATGCATGGGACGTGTGTAAGGATGCGTTCGTTCGTTCGTTGCACAAACGGATGGTGGTGGAGAAAGAAGGGGGCAGAAGAGGGGGGGGGGAGGGAGCATTAGAGTCAACGCATTCAATTATCGTCGTTACCAGGAGTTTACAGATGTTTCGGCGATAATCGCGTTGCTACGCGACTTCCACGTTGCATTAAACGTTGAATGCCGCCGGCATTCGGGAGAGGGAGACGCGGCAAGAGAGTGAAAAGGAGGGGGGAGGGAGGGGGAACTTAATTAGACTCGTCGGAAAAATTAACGCAGTCCACTCGAAACGAACTGGCAGCGCTCCAGATGCTCGCGTCGCGTCGTTGCTCTTCCGCGGCCGCGGAAAAGCATCACGGCAATCCGGACGATGCAATCTGCAGAGTGATGCACACGGCGGTCACGGCTCGATGAACTTGCTCCCCCGGTCATAATCGAGATGGTTGCTCGTTGACTCACGATGTACCTGCCTCTATGAATTTCGTTCTGAAAGATCTCGACGTGTTCGACGGTTTTTTCCCCTTAATTATTGGATGAAAACTGCAGCTTGTGTAATTTTCGAAATTTAAGATGTGACTGAAAGGTCATTAAGTTTGTTCTTTTACATTCCTGGCACAGAGTACACAATCTCTTTCCGGTTTCCCCTTTTTGTGATTAAAATCTTGTACAACGTTATCTAGCAAATGTCACACAATAAATGTTTCGAGATTAAAATAAAAAAAGAATACATTACTAATTAGCTGATGAATATTAGTTTCAACTAAATATTAGTAGTTCAAAAGTTCAAACATTAATTCATAAACTAAATATCAATTGTTGATTTAAATCTTTCTGTTAAAGAGAGCAAAAATATGTAAGAAGGAACTAAGTAGCTTTAAATTACCGATTGCGTTTTGTAGATATATATTACGATATATCAGGATATCTTTAAGCTTAGTGTTTACTTTAAAGTATTTTCTTAAGTGTAAGTTTGAGTAAAAAAATTTTTAAATATGATATTTAATACTCTCTATCCCACACACACACACTCACTCTTTCTATATAAAATAACTTATATATGCCTTTTCTTACGTTAACTTTGTTTTTCTTTTTTAAGTCGACGCTTAAGATTTAACATTCACGATGTTAGCGAAAACGCATAATTTCACGCGTAATCCGTGCGTGTCACCTGCTACCCGTTTCGGCGGTGACCCGACACGGCTCTCGTTCCCTTTTCTCGTGCAAATTTCATGATTTTTTTTGTCGACGAACCGATAGCTATGACGGTGCGCACGCGCAAAAAAAAATCGAGCGAGCATCGTCAGTAAACACTATAAATCAGCTTAATCCGCGGCGTCGAGCGAAGCGAAAAGGTTGGGAGTGTATGCGCGTTTGCGTGAATGTGGGTTAACGAAGGCGAAAAAGGAAAACAATTTTGGCGTCAGCATTTCGGAATTTGCAGACCGCGCGAACACGACGCGATGCCATCGAATGAAAACAGCGCTCGTTGCAACGGGATGAAACAAGTCGAATTACAGAGTATCTAGAAATCACAAGGCATGCGCATCGTGTCTAGAAAAATAATACACGGCGCATCGATCAACGAATTGATTTTGGATTTTCTTCGAAGGAATTGATCCGAAAAAGTGTAATATTTTAGAAACCTAAAAATTATTAGTCGCATCGTCGTTGAAAAACATTTTTTACTTCAGCTTTCATTAATGCCGAATCTCTATTTCAATTTATGACATGTACACTGCGTGTATCTTGACTTGAACCTATTTTTACTAATCGCGAGAATTGCGATTTTCATACGATCGTTACCAAGAAAAACGTCGTGTAGAGAGTACAATTTGCAACAATAATGTGGTTCGGCGTTCGATCTTCGTGCACCAAATGCACGCGTTCTTGGAAACGCGCTTCGGGGTGAGCGCGTAATTCACGCGAAATGCAAGAACATCGGGAGCAGCCAGTGCGCGGCACGTGATCGTTTCTTTTTCTGCTTTCAGGCGTAGTCGGAGCTCGGAACCTCACGATGGAGTGCCGCAAGGGTCGACGGAAAGGAGCTCCGATCCTTGGCGGGCTGCTGGTTGCGTGGCTCTTAACCAACGGCTGCACCGTCGTCGCGCGAAATTTAGGTGAGTACGTACGAAGTATTTACGATTTCGGGTCGCGGTTTCTGACCGCGGGTAAACCCTCTGAGAGCTCTTCGTCCCCTCCCCCCTCCCCCTGTTTGCGCCAATTAAGGGGCCGGCTACAACGCGCATGGATATTTACGAGTGACGCACTCGCGGAGGCGCGACTCGCTGCAGGCAGAAGCCAGTTTTGCATCTCGGCGCCTTCCGCGTCTTCTTTTTAACTTCACAGCGAGCACATTTTAAATTGTCACATTGATGAGCGTAACCACTGCGGCAATATTGTGCCGCCTGGTTTTGTCTTGGAAAATTTATGGCGCAAACAACGTTTTTTTTTTAAAAACACTTTACTTTAAACTGATCAGTAATACGTATAATACGTGCAAATAAGGCATTAATTAAGTGACGGATTATTTGCAAATGAAAAATTAAGATAAATTGAAGAATAATTTTTTGTTGTATCAAAGAAGAAAATTTTATTATTTTTGAGTACAACCACATTTTGCATCGTTACATTTTTTCTAGAATTATATAAATAATTTCCACCGATCGTTAATAATATTTTGCACTTCCGGTTTAGGATATTTCGAACTGCATTAAGATTTAGAATTATGCTTGATAATTTAAAGCATTTAAAGCGTTATATATATATGAAAGATTAAATGTAAAATATTAGCAATAATTCTCGCATAATAAATAAATTAATAAAATTAGTATATAGTTAATTTCAGATTTTTCATTAACAGTTCTAAAGCACAAATATTTAGACACGATGTATTTATTCTAATAAATCTTATGCCGGAAGTGTAAGTTTACATTGTCTTATTTCGAGTGGCATTTATCAGGCTGCTTTCCTTTTAGTGACACAGCCGACACAAATATTATGCTATCCTTGGCATTCAATGGAGCAACAGAAATAGAACGATACTTGTGTCGACTTGTGTCGCTAAATGGAAAGCAGCCTATGTAATCTAAATATGACACCACTCGAAATTCCATATCTTTCTATAAACTTTAAACCGTAAATAAAAATCATCTGGAAAGGATTAAAGACAAAAATGGAAATAGTCGTGACGTGCAGGAGGCGGAAGACCGTTGTTACCCGTTGTAAACCCCTGGAAAACCTAGCGAGATGGATGGGAGGTTTCGGCCGGCATGTTAAGTCCGGGAACATACCGTAGCATGCTCGTAGAATTAAACTGTTCTCGTGTTAATTGATTTAGGAGATCCCACCAGCATCAGCGTGTGTTTCGCTGCATTGCAATACAGAACAGTTGATAAATCTCGGTACATGCTATAAACTCTATATTTCTTGATATCAGTTGTGAGAAAATATTGCATTTTTTTTCGCTATTTATCTCTCAAACCTGTATCAAATAATAAATACCTTGATGTTTTGATAACGATTTGAAAGGTGATTCCTCAAGTTTGTTATTTTTTTGCCGTTCAAATTTATGGTATAAATTATTAGAATTATACGAACTTAATAGCATTTCAACTTTTACCGTATACATATTTTTTTAACTCTGCTTACACGGGACGCACGCGCGGGATAAAGATTGCCAGAATGGCTTTTCGGGGCTCGGATATTTCGTTGAAAGAATTCCGTTCAGGCGCCGACAGCGGCGCCTACAAATTTCTCCCGAGACCATTTCCGTGCTCGCATATTAGCTCGATTGCGCGCCCAGCTGCAATCTCCGACGACATGTAACTGATCGCGGAAGTTGAAGAAAAAACTGGCCAACCGGCGCGGTCCGACGTTACTTTCTGCCCATAAATCCACCGCTTTCCGGCGGGAACAAAAAATGTTTAAGTGCTCGCGACATCGTCCACAGTCACGAAACGACGCAGAATTAAATGTTAAGTCTAAGAAGCGTAAGAGATTTCAGAATTATGACATAAGACTGTAAACGTAATTTTTACTGTCTTTTGTGGAAAGGAGACTAAAATATTTTTTAGTGTCTACGTAAAACAGTAAGAAAAATCTTGCTCAATTTAAAGTAGAGTTCTTCATATTCTTATGGCTTCTAATGGATTTAGCGCAATTTACGTCAAAGTAGCGCGGCACATCAAGTCGATGCATCACGTAAACGAAGGAAGATAAGGAAGCAAAGGGAAGAAAGGTAAAAGGAAGGGGCTAGCGCTTGATAACGTTAGAATACGACGACGCATCGAGCGAGTACACGCGGGCATTAACGAGCGGCGGAATCTCTAGGTGCAATTTTAGGCCGCGCTGTGTTCGGCAGGCGTCGAGGATGAGACACACAGGGGTCAGGGGAGAGGGAACACGAGATGAAGACCCCGAGAGGGTTGCAGGGAGACGACGCGCGTCCTCTCTCTATTCCTTTGCGATCATCATACACCCCGGTGCGTCCAATCCATGCAATCACCGCAGTTGCGTTTCCAGTGTTCTGCCTCCGATCCCTTCCAGCTACTCCCTTTTCGGCTATAGATGTACACGACACGCACACGTGTACGCTCGCATGCACGCACACACACGCGCGGAAGAACCGCAGTAACCCAAACGATAGATAAATCAAAATCGCTCGCATTGTGCGCTCGGTGTGCCGCCGAGGCTCAGACGGGGCTTTGTGCGCCTCCAAAGGTGGATAGAGATTTAGGTCGTCCTGGAATCGATATCGCTCTCGACTGCGTTTCCGTGCGGAATCGCAGAGTCGCGATATACGAGTCGGATGGCAGAGAATTGGCAGCGCTCGCTTATGTTGAATCAGGTTTTCGTGCTTGAGTGCGCATTTCTAAAAATAATTGCGACGGCAAATCAGACGAATGCGACACAATAACATTTTCTTTCTTACGATATTATTTTTTTTAAATAATGCACGGAAACATTAATTTCACGAATATTGCAAAGGTCATTGAGAGATTAGGAGAAGCGACAAAGAATTAATTATGTATCAGTATTGTTAATTATCGAACAGCTCTCTTGCGTTTTATTATCTCTTTTCTAGGGAGAATATAAAAAAAATTGTCACTTAAATCTTTTACGAAGGAGCTTATTAAGAAAGTATATTCAATATTTAATTTCTTCGAAAGTTAAAAAGCAGCCTTTTTCACTTACCAATTCCGGTCTCTATATTTTAACCGAATGTACGCGTATTATTTCAGTTATTCAGCAATTGGTTTTTTAGTATCGCTCCGCCCGTCATAAAGCCGAAAATGATTCCTCTTAGCGTATAAATATGCCGGCGTTTCGAAAAATTACATAAAACCTCAATAGCCGCCACTTTGTAATCTACTCTAATGGCCGTCGTAAAACGTTAGTTAACGGCGGAAAGGATGATTTCGATCGGGCTGACCTCGCGAATAACGCGCGATAAAATTTGCAGTTGCGGCTATTGGCATCGAAGCGGCGCCGAAAGACCGTCGTTCACCCGTGGCTACTCGTCCGCTACTTACGCCGCCGGCATTTTTACGAAGGCCGGAATTTCCGGCCCTTACACCGATCGACAATAAAAGCAATACGATCCCACTGCAATTTACGACGGAACACTAACCGTTAGATTCCGATTGGATTATCAGATGGAATCGCCGATTAAATTTTAATCGCTCATAGATATCACGCAGTACATTAATTTTATATATATAACGTTCGGTGTATAGATGGCGATAGATGAATGACTCGATCCGCGAGAAGTAATGTTTCCTCGTTTCCGGTTAAGATCCCACAATCATCTATTTAACGTTTGTTGATAAGATTGTTGAAAATCGAGAAACGCTAATTGAATTGGGTCGATTGGGCGATTTTCGTTACAATTCTTTACCGATAAATTTCACAAGTTTCTGGCATTAATCGAGACGCGCCCGGTGCTGAATTATTGCCCGTGTAACTTGGCAATTTACCATCGGCTATAATTGCTGCGAACGTTTGTCAGATTACGTTATACTTTTACCGGCATTGTGGACCACCTGGGACACACGCCATGAAGATCTCATCTCTTTTCCTCTTCCCTGCTCTGCCGACGAGGATTTATAAGCGCGGCAAAGGGGAGGCGCTGTAGGGCAATTTACGGCCGCCACTTACGTCGCCGTGCCGTATTCCGAGCAATTAATATTTACGCCGGATAGATCGGTAATCCTATTATACACTCGGCACAATATATCGAGATAATAAGCATCGTGGACAGCGCGTGATTACAGGCTGCGCCGCGTCCCCGAGGCGGTCCGAGTTTCTCTCCGCGAGATAAGATTCCTCGAAGAAAAACTCTCACGCTTCTCCAGCAACCTTGAAACGCGCGCACATAGCACGGCAACGCCCCGCGCGATGATATGCTAAAAACTGAGAGCAATCTAGAGGATACGCCGAGATACATTCGAAGCTGGTTTTCATATAAATACAAAGTCTATTTTAAATTACTTCGTTACAGGGGTAAACGTTTCGCTCAAACATATTAATGTGTAGATACGACTATTAAAAACTGACCTTTTAAGAAAAAATAAAACGACAAGAGTCGGCAAAGTCATCGCGAACAAATATTATATATCGCAATTATTCGTCGCATTAACTAATCGTTTCTTTTTCAATTAAATACTCCTATAAAACGCTCTCAAATTATTATTTCTGATCGATTTACATTCTGCACAACTATTCAATATGGTATCTAAAACATGTGTTGGAGAGAGAGAGATATATATATGCATATTTTATTATTAAAATATCTAAATTTATCGCGATTTAGTAATAAATTTCAGAATGAAACACTAATATATGTTGAATCAAACATTGAAGAAAATATTATCGCACTGAAAATAATTGAACAGATTTTATGTCAGTTTTGTCAATATTGCAATTATAATGTCGAGTTGTTTTACGTTTCACATAAATGCACACAACAATCCGCTTCAGACAAAAAAAAAAATAGTTTCATGCATTCAGGCGTAGGACATTCGTCGTACTGTCGTCGAGCCGCGGCGCCCGTCCTAATTCCGGCGTATTGAAATATGAATGAAATATCGAGCGCGACGTTATTTTCGCCGTTTCGTGA